GAGAATAATAGGCTATCGGATTTCCTTTCTGCGTAAGGACAGAACCGATCGCTATGTTTGAAGTGTCTGTTGTGAGGGTAAATGATAGAGAAAAATCAGTGTATTGGAGAATAGGGGAGTTACTAAGAGCAGATTTACATTTCTCAAAGGATTTAATATATTTGGGATATTCGATATCGATTTTAGTTCCTTTTCTAGTGCAGCGTGTCATGGGACATGTAACTTTCGAAAAGTTCGGAATGAATCGTCGGTAGTATTCTACCAGACCAGCTTTTGATTTATTTCACTGTTTTGGGTATAGCAGAGCTTTCGATGGCTGAAATTTTCGAAGGGTTTGGTTTTATACCTTCAGGTGTTATGACGTGGCCTAGGAATGCTACTGACTTACTTAAGAACTCTAATTTATCTGGCTGAATCTTGAGGTTGATCTGTTTTATATGGATTAAATGTTCCTGGAGGGATTTGGAGAATATAATTACATCGTCCATATAGACAGAACAAGACTTGTATAAGAATTCCCTTAGGATTTCGTCACGACATCATTCGCTCGAAGGTGGCTGGTGCATTTTGTAACCCGAAGAGCATTCTAAGGTTCTCGAAATGACCGTTAGGGACTGTGAATGCTGTCTTTTCGATAGAATCGGGATGGACTTCGATTTGGTGGAAACCCTGAGCCAAATCGAGGGTGGTAAAGTATGAACAAAGTCCTAGGTTGTCAAGAATTTCGTCGATGTGGTGAAGAGGGTATTTATCTTCGATTGTGTTTTTGTTAAGACGTCTATAGTCGATGACCATACGGAATTTTCTTTTACCGCTTGCGCCAGGTTTTCTCGTAACTATCTATACAGGGGCTGAGTAGGGACTTATAGAAGGGCGGATGACATTGTTTTGTAGTAACTTATTGATTTGATCAGAAATTTTAGGTAGCATTGATTATGGGTGTCGATAAGAGCGGGTGAAGATTGGTGTTTCATCCTTAGTTCGAATTAAATTTTTTACAGAAGTAGTAACGGTTAAAGGAGAATTTTTTGTATAAAAAATATCCTTAAATTGATGACAAAGACGAAGGATCTTTTCTTTCTCTTCCATATTCAAATGGTCTGTCTGTAAAAAATTAAGATCAAACGAATTATCACCAGAAGATGGGGGAGTGATTTCTTCGAAATCCGAAACGGATGTGGCGGAGATTGGTTGTGAGAAGTTGATTTCAACATTATTGGGACGTGGTATTTCTAAGAAGCCGTCTTCAGCTACATGAATTGATGCTGGAGTTATTACCTGATTTTCGTGTATAATACCAGGGATGACAATTTCGCCATTGTTAATGGAGACTGGAATGCGTAGTAGTCTATTACTAAGGTAAATTATGTTAAATGGAATATAAATGTGTAATTTTGGAATAGAAAATATGTGTGTTTCGTAATCAATATTGGCTCCTAGCTGATCGAGTCCACCGGTACCCAAAAGTACATCAAAATCGTCATGCCAGTCGGCGATTCTAATTGTAAGGGGTTGATGAATACCAATTTCTTCGAACAAAGGGTAGCAAAGGTTCCGTGTATATCTTTTTGGGGTTTTCATCGAAATTAGGGTAAAAGGTTAATAGAATTCATACTTCGAATCGAAGTTGTAAGCTTTGGGAGTAATTACTGTATCAGAGCCACCGGAGTCAATTAAGACTTTTAATTTAGAATGTGGGAGATAGAAGTAAGGAAGTTTTGTTGCTTTGGAATAATTATTTAATTGAATGGTTCTATGTTGGGTGCGGGTTCCATTGAGGCTGTTCCTGGAAAATTTTCCTCAGGAGTATGAAAGTTTTCGTAGCAATCTGTCTCAGGTATACATCTGCTTCGTTATAAGGTAAACTAGACGGGGACTTGAGTTCACATTCAACATTATGATTGAACGTGCGGTGACTGGACATAGACATTGGGGTAGGTTTGGAATTTGAAGATCTCTGGGAATGAATACCAGACATATGAGTTCGATTTTACTGGTTTCGTTGGTGGATTATTAGGCCTAGACGATGGACCAAAGACTTGACGATTTGTCGGGAAAGTTTGTACCTGTTGGATGGGTTTATTTATATCGCCAAAAGATCTAGGGTGTATAGAATTTTGATTGAAGAATTGATTAGAAGAATTGGGCTGATTCATATTACGAGGGTATTGGTTATTGGGATTATTGGATTTGTTTGAAGTATTAAAATTGTTTGAATTAGCACGAGGTTGATCGTGTATTTCAAGTAGGACATGTATTGTTGTTGCTGTCTGTGATTGTCAAGAGCGATAGACTTTTTAAGGTTTTAAGGTTTAAATCTAGATTCTTTTTGTGACTTATGTGAAAAATTGACTATAGCTTGGAAATAACCTTGAGGGTACTCAGAACTCATATCAAAAGGAAATGGACTTACAGGCTGAGAAGAATTGCTCTGATTTTCGTCGCCAGTATGGTCTTCCAATCTCTCGATATTCCTTCGTGACCCTAGGTAGAAATCTGACAAATCGTTGAAACAAACCGATGATCCTTCTTGGGTGGATGCCGTGCAGATATCTTGTTCGCAGCGCCAGCTATGTTTTTCAGCCACAACAAGGAGTTTTTAAACAATATTTATTCGATAGACATGAACGTCCTACAAGTTGGAATGATAATGATTCTAAATATTAAAAGAGAAACAGTTTTTACAGGGTGGGGCATAACTGTCTCCCTATTTTCAAAGCTTAATAAAACAAATTTTATTTGGAATACTATGGATTTATTTTGAAATCTTAAAAGTACAACTCAAACAGTTTTATTTTATGTGGTTTTGAAAATAATATCGGCGAGGTGCTTTCCACCATTATCACAGCATTGCCGCAAGCGCTTTCTGAAGTTTTGCATAACTCTAACTAACATTGCTTGCGGTATTCGGCCAATTTCCAGACGGATTGCCTCCTTCAGCTGTGGTAAGGTCCTTGGACGATGTTGAAAGACTTGAGCCTTAAGATAGCCCCACAGAAAGAAATCGCAAGGCGACAAATCCGGGGAGCGCGCAGGCCAAGGAATATCGCCTCTAAGGGAGATCAAGCGTCCGGGGAACAGTTCTCTCAAAATGCCTAATGATGCTCAGGATGTGTGGGCTGTCGCCCCATCCTGCTGAAACCAGGCATTCTGCACATTGAATTCTGCAAGAGCTGGGACAAAAAAATTCTGAATCATCGCTACGTAGCGTTCCGAGTTGACGGTGACAGCCCGATTACCTTCTTCAAAAAAGTAAGGCCCAACTATCCCAGTTTCTGACACGGCGCACAAAACTGTGACTTTCTCACTATGCAGAGGCTTTTCGTGTATCTCTCTTGGGTTTTCGGCACACCAGAACCGAAAATTTTGTTTGTTCACGCAGTCAGACAAATAAAAATGTGCCTCGTCACTAAAAAAAAACCGCCTCCTGAGGTAACTTTGCAATCATGTCTTGACATGCAGCTAGTCGATTGTTCCAATCACGTGGTGATAATTCCTGTACAATAACCATCTTGTATGGATGAAAATGTAGGTCTTGATGAAGAATTCTTCGTAAAGAGCGATTAGAGAGGCGAAGGGCGTCTGCATGTCTGCGTGCAGAGCGGTTGAGCGAGTGTTCCACTGAGCGTCTGACTCTCTCTATGTTTTCGGGCGTCCGAGCTGTTCGTGGACGTCCACCTCCTCTCCTGATAACAGTTCCAGTTGCTCTGAAATTTTTCACCCACAAAACAATTGATTTTCGGTCTGGCACTGGTCGGTTACGAGGAATTTCAAATTGCATACGGAACGCTCGTTGTGCAGCGATAACGGATCCATTTTCGTGGATGTACGCTTCCACGGCGAAAGCGCGCTGTGCGTCGGTCCACATGCTGTTTCAAACTGAAACCTGTTCTAACCTGAAACTGTTCAACTTGCCGCTTGTACCGACGCTATCTCCACTTCCATTCGGTGCCGCCCGGTTGGGCCTTACTTTTTTGAAGAAGGTAATCGGGCTGTCACCGTCCACTCGGAATGCTACGTAGCGATGATTCATAATTTTTTTTCCCATCTCTTGCAGAATTCAATGTGCAGAATGCCTGGTTTCAGCATGATGGGGCGACAGCCTACACATCCCGAGCATCATTAGGCATTTTGAGAGAACTGTTCCCCGGACGCTTGATCTCACCACATAAAATAAAACTGTTTGAGTTGCACTTTTAATATTTCAAAATAAATCCATAGTATTCCAAATAACATTTGTTTTATTAAGCTTTGAAAATAGGGAGACAGTTATGCCCCACCCTATTAAGGTTTCTGCTGCCGTTGCGTCTGCCGGTGTCGTCTTGCTGACGCCTCGGGTTCTTGACCTTTATCGTGCGCCATATTTAGTGCCCGTAGGTACTCTACCGTATAGGCTATCGCGTGTATGCTCAATTAAGACGTATAGATAAAATTATAATAATCGCTGCGTTGCTGCACAGGTGCATCCGTTACCCATTGCATATTGAGCTATTTGCTGCCTAAACATTATTTATACATTGACTCAGACGCGAATATCATTAATTTTATTTATTATCCGTATCTTCCGTATGAAGGATAGGAAACGAGTATTTGTAAATATTTCCTAAACTACTAATTTGCGAAGCATCTAACCCCATATAAGCTTGCTCTTATTTTTATTGCTTAAAATGATGAGATTATGGAAACAGAATAGACTTTTGAGATTAATGTACAGGGCGTCCCATTCAAAATAAGCATCTTGGTATCTACTTCCGGTTCAACTGGAAGTCACACCATTTTGAAAATATTCTAGCCGAATTCCTGACATCAGTTATACAATAACCCCATATTTTCATAGTTGTCTAAATTCAACATTTTGAGCAATCAATTGCTATAGTTCTACGTGGAACACCCTGTATACAAAAACACATTAAAACAAAATCTTCGATTTCAAACAAGAAACTTTTGTGTTCGACAACTGATGTTTGCCACTTTGTACATAGTATTTGAAAAGTACTCACCGGTTCATTTGTATTCTTGTTGCTTGGCACAATATGGTTATAACTTCGACGCTCATTCCACTTGATACTATTGTTCTCTGAATTTTGGAAAACTGACTTGTCTTTGGCTGCTGTTGAATGCATTGTACTGCTTGTAATAGCCGTGTTGGTATAACTTTGAATATCTACTGTTCTAAAAGAAACTATTCTGCTTTTTTCCTTGTACGTATTCCAGTGGCGTAGACAAACACATGATGCTACTCAAAATGTGTATTGTGATCCCCAATATTAAAAATTCTAATTGATATCTCTTTAAGTGTTTCATGATATCTCTGTTGTACTTGATAACTGAATTCGGCCACTGCCCGAAAAAGACCATCATATATCTCAAAGAGAATCGCTAGATCTCAGCACTTAGAACAGGAGCGTCTATAGTCGTCAAAAGTTTAATAGGTGTAGTTCTCCAGATTCAGGGCTTCCATGTTGGGCAGTCCTTACCCTATTATAGTGTACACTGCACATACACGGTATGGAGTAACTGTTTGATAAGTAGTTACGTTTTTACCATTATCCCTACGGGTCGGTTCAGCAGCATTGCAACTCTGTCACATACACAGGATGGCCCACACTTATCATAAATGGAGTATTGTTGCGAGATGCAAACCTTTTTGAAAATTTCTTAGGTTCGTCTTACACCGCTTCCGTGGAAAAATGTTTCAAAAATATGCAATGATCTAGACCAGGGCTGTCCAACATACGGCCCGCCTCACCTGTGTATACATCACATGTATAAATTACTCTCAAATATAGTATAGTATATACCTATGAAAACTCAGTAATAATGTTGTATAGAATGATTTTATAACGCGCCCCTCCAAACTGCATTTTTTTTTAAGTGGCCCTTGGGCCACATTAAGTTGGACAGCCCTGATCTAGACAATGTTGCCTTTTTCACAGATACATGCAGCTTTATTTCATATTTGGGTAGACCTACATGATTCTGAGTTCTGTGAGAGAATAATCGTACATTTTTTGAAAAAATGAAAGCCTGTCAACCAGTTCCTTGTCCTTCTTAATAGATACAGTTCTGAATCTTTAGTATCAAGATATACGGTAGTCTTCACTTGCTACCTAGTTTATCCATTCCCATTGTCCGAGTCAATTAGTCAATTAGTTTTATCCAAATATTTGTAAGCTATTTTTATAAGCTCATTTAAGTTTGTTTTTGTGACAAAATTTGGGAAACACGTCTAAATTTTATCATTTATTAAAGCCGCCGCGAAACGGTCTAACATATCTTCATGTGTTTTTTGACAAAATATATGACATCTCAAAAAAACGTGACATAGCGCAAAAGTCTTTGGGTTTTACCCAAAACGGAAAAACAAAACAAAACCACTTGGATGTAAAGCTCACTATAGAACATGTATGTAAATGTGATATAACGGCAAAGCTGGTAAACCGGCCATTATGGATAACTGTAATAATGATAATGATATTAATAATAATAATAATAATAATAATAATAATAATAACGATAGCGATAACGACAACGATAACGATAACGATAACGATAACGAAAACGAAAACGAAACCGAAACCGAAACCGAAACCGAAAACGTAAACGAAAACTAAAACGAAAACGATAACGATAACGATAACGGTAACGGTAACGGTAACGGTAACGGCAACTGTAACGGTAACGGTAACGGTGACGGTGACGGTGACGGTGACGGTGACGGTGGCGGTGGCGGTGGCGGTGGCGGTGGCGGTGGCGGTGGCGGTGGCGGTGGCGGTGGCGGTGGCGGTGACGGTGACGGTGACGGTGACGGTGACGGTGACGGTGACGGTGACGGTAACGGTGACGGTGACGGTGACGGTGACGGTGACGGTGACGGTGACGGTGACGGTGACGGTGACGGTGACGGTGACGGTAACGGTGACGGTAACGAAAACGGTAACGAAAACGGTAACGGTAACGGTAACGGCAACTGTAACGGTAACTGTAACGGTAACGATAACGATAACGATATTTAAGTGGGTGTAAGGTCGAACAGGGTATGTCGACAGATGGATACAGTTTTTCGAGCGATTAATACTCTACCTGATTGCCTGACACGAACAAGAAACTGGTAGAAAATAGAAAACCGGGATGAAATGAGATGAGCCAAAGCGAAGGGAGCACGTTTATAACAATAATAATATAATAATATAATAATAATAATATGATATGATAATGAATGATAATGATAATGATAATGATAATGCTAATGATAATGATAATGATAATGATAATGATAATGATAATGATAATGATAATGATAATGATAATGATAATGTATGATAATGATAATTATAATGATAATGATAATGATAATGATAATGATAATGTATGATATGATAATGATAATGATATGATATGATAATGATAATGATAATGATAATGATAATGATAATGATAATGATAATGATAATGATAATGATAATGATATAATGATAATGATAATGATAATGATAATGATAATGATAATGATAATGATAATATAATGATAATGATAATGATAATGATATGATAATGATAATGATAATGATATGATAATGATGATATGATAATGATAATGATAATGATAATGATACTGATGATAATGATAATGATAATGATAATCATAATGATACTGACACTGACACTGACACTGATACTGATACTGATACTGATACTGATACTGATACTGATACTGATACTGATGCTGATACTGATACTGATACTGATACTGATACTGATAATGATAATGATAATGATAATGATAATGATAATGATAATGATAATAATAATAGTAATAGTAATAATATAATAATATAATAATAATAATAATAATAATAATAATAATAATATAATAATAATAATAATAATAATAATAATAGTAATAATATGATGACGATGACGATGACGCTGACGATGACGATGACGATGACGATGACGATGACGATGACGATGACGATGACGATGACGATGACGATGACGATGACGATGACGATGACGATGACGATGACGATGACGATGACGATGACGATGACGATGACGATGACGATGACGATGACGATGACGATGACGATGACGATGACGATGACGATGACGATGACGATGACGATGACGATGACGATGACGATGACGATGACGATGACGATGACGATGACGATGACGATGACGATGACGATGACGATGACGATGACGATGACTATGACTATGACGATGACGATGACGATGACGATGACGATGACGATGACGATGACGATGACGATGACGATGACGATGACGATGACGATGACGATGACGATGACGATGACGTTGACGATGACGATGACGATGACGATGACGATGACGATGACGATGACGATGACGATGACGATGACGATAACGATAACCATAATAATAACAATAATAATAATAATAATAATAATAATAATAATAATAATAGTTATATAGAGTTTCCCGATCGTATCTAACAGGCAAACAGTTCGATAGGATGTTACAGAGTCAAGGGGTTTGTTTCCTTTCCTCAACAGGACCAGCTTTTGTACTTTCCAATCTTCGAAGAATCTTCCTTCTATAAGGCATACATTAAAAACCCGTAGTAAAATTTCAGGGTATACTTCGATTATCCGCTTGAGGATCTCGTTAGGTCCGGGAGCTTTTTTAGGCTTCAGCCTCTTTCCAGCTTCCCTGAGTTGATCCAAGGTAAAAGGTATTACCTCACTAGCTGATGGGCAGTTTTCACCCAATCCTGGGTTTCTCGCTACGAACGGGAACAAATTCCTTATTATCAAGCTAACCCAGTCCTGATCTTCTAAGCATGGGATCTGCTGACGAATCTCCAATTTTTTAGTGACGATTCTGTATGCTAGACCCCATGTATCTCTCTCCACCTGAGTAATCAATTCCTTCCAGCACTTCCTTCTACTGAGACGAATTTCTCTTTTGATGGCCCTTTTGGTTTCCTTCCAGGCTTCCAGTGGCAAAGGATCTCCTCTCGAGCGGGTGTATCTCCTTCTAGCAGCTAGACAATCGGTGCGTAGACGAGAAATTTCTTCATTCCACCAGTAGAGCGACCGCCTTTTAAGACCTGGGAGCTTTCGTCTTGGCATAGAAGAGTTACAAGCTGCAACTATCTGCTGCCTAACACTGGTCACAGCTTCGTCCAGGGAGCAAGGTCTTCTTTCCCAGCCTAACTCATAAAAAGTTTTGGTTTCCAAAAGGAACTCCTCGAGTCGTTGCTCATCGAGTCTACTTGTATTCCACAAAGGGCGTTTTGAGGGTTGCGATGAGGCAAAGGCCTCGTTTCTTGATATGTCATCAGTTATTGTGAATTCTATATACTGGTGATCGCTTAATGTTTCCTCTTCCAATACCTTCCAATATTGAATTCGTTGGGCTATTCGTGGACTTGATATGGTTATGTCTATCACAGAACCTGCATTACCACGTCTGAAGGTAAGGCTTCCTCCTTGGTTTAATACAGTGAGATCGTTCCTTGACACCACTTCACTCAGGAGAGTACCTCTTCTATCTAACCTAGTATCTTCCCATTCCGGGGATTTACTGTTGAAGTCGCCTGCTATCAAGACAGGACTCCTAGAATCATTCAAGCTCTCTTCCAGAGCACAAATCTCCGAGTTGAATTCTGAAAAAGAATCATTTGGAGAAAAGTAGCAACTATAAACACGGATCCCCGCGATCTCTACCCATAGAAAGCCCTGGTCTGTCTCCAAGAATTCCTTGACCTCAACGTTGGGATTGCAAACTTGTATACCGGCTCTCCCCGTTGCATCTTGGTACCAGGTTGAAGTATCTGTCGTCCTATATTGCTCACAGAAAACCAATACGTCGACATTTCTTTCTCTGGCTACCTGCATCAGGAGGTACTGTGCATCCCTTCCTCTCCCAAGATTTATTTGCAGGAACCTCAGTTCTTGGTCTTTACCCTCATCAATTCTGTTCGATTAATCGGACAAGAACTATTTGCGGCGGCGAGCTGGAAATCGGTTTTACCCATATCGAGGCAGGTAACACATTTCGGGGCCTCTTGACATGCTTTGGCGTAGTGTCCTGTGGCTGCACATTTCCAACAAGCGGTGCGTCTCTTGGGCTTTTCACAACCTATTGCAATATGTCCGAATCCCAAGCATCTATGACATCTCGTCACTTCTACATGCTCTCGTATCCTGCAGTTCACCCAGCCAATATGAACCCTTCAGCAAGTGTTCTGCGTCTAATTCCGAAGTCTTGATAAGTGCTACCTTCGGGGCGTCACGTCGAGAAAATAGGCGACAATTCATGTCCACTGCGTCCTTGTCAAGTTTCTGGTGGAGTGCGTTGATAACTTCCTCTACCGTAACGGTTTCATCCAAGTCTCTTAGCTCTAAGGTCTTGAACAAGGTTAGACTTTTGACTTCGGCCTTTTCCTTTACCGCCTCTGCCAGAGCGTGGGCAAACTCAGAAGCCTTTCCGCCTTTTTTAAGGACAAACAGCATATCATTGTCCCTTGTTCTTCTAATGGACAAGAGCTCTGTCTCAGTTTCGGCTGGATTTACTTTAGCCTTCATAGTCTTCAGGATGTCTGCAAAAGACCTCAGGACCGCAGTGACTTTGACTGCTTCTGACGTTCTGCGCTTACGTGTTCTGTTTGAAGGCGCCGCTCTGCCCTCCTTGTCCGCTTTATGCTCTTTGCTTGCGACTTCCTCCTTTCTTTTCTCTTTCTGTACTTTCCTTCCTTCTTTCTTTCGATTGGTAACCACTTGGAAGCCTTCTTCGTTGTTGCCTTGCTCGTGGTGGTCCTGACTTTGCCCCGGAGACGCCTTTGACGCTGGTTGACTGAGCGTGTCAGTTTTGCCTTTGTTTGGATCCCTCTTTTCCTCAGGTGTTCTGGATGCTTCCCTTTTTTCGCCTCTGGGCCGAACTATCGCAGTGCCAGTGGATGCTGCTCTAGGGCGGTACCTTAAACTTTCACGAGGGGTGATTGCCAGTTCCTTCTGGAAACTCTCACCCCTTCCCTTAAGGTCCTTGGTCAGTGAAGTTAAGTTATTAACCAAGTGAAACGCCTTCTCTACTCCCATCTTGACGTCTTGTGGGTTATTCTTCAACATCCGTTATATAGAGTTTCCCGATCGTATCTAACAGGCAAACAGTTCGATAGGATGTTACAGAGTCAAGGGGTTTGTTTCCTTTCCTCAACAGGACCAGCTTTTGTACTTTCCAATCTTCGAAGAATCTTCCTTCTATAAGGCATACATTAAAAACCCGTAGTAAAATTTCAGGGTATACTTCGATTATCCGCTTGAGGATCTCGTTAGGTCCGGGAGCTTTTTTAGGCTTCAGCCTCTTTCCAGCTTCCCTGAGTTGATCCAAGGTAAAAGGTATTACCTCACTAGCTGATGGGCAGTTTTCACCCAATCCTGGGTTTCTCGCTACGAACGGGAACAAATTCCTTATTATCAAGCTAACCCAGTCCTGATCTTCTAAGCATGGGATCTGCTGACGAATCTCCAATTTTTTAGTGACGATTCTGTATGCTAGACCCCATGTATCTCTCTCCACCTGAGTAATCAATTCCTTCCAGCACTTCCTTCTACTGAGACGAATTTCTCTTTTGATGGCCCTTTTGGTTTCCTTCCAGGCTTCCAGTGGCAAAGGATCTCCTCTCGAGCGGGTGTATCTCCTTCTAGCAGCTAGACAATCGGTGCGTAGACGAGAAATTTCTTCATTCCACCAGTAGAGCGACCGCCTTTTAAGACCTGGGAGCTTTCGTCTTGGCATAGAAGAGTTACAAGCTGCAACTATCTGCTGCCTAACACTGGTCACAGCTTCGTCCAGGGAGCAAGGTCTTCTTTCCCAGCCTAACTCATAAAAAGTTTTGGTTTCCAAAAGGAACTCCTCGAGTCGTTGCTCATCGAGTCTACTTGTATTCCACAAAGGGCGTTTTGAGGGTTGCGATGAGGCAAAGGCCTCGTTTCTTGATATGTCATCAGTTATTGTGAATTCTATATACTGGTGATCGCTTAATGTTTCCTCTTCCAATACCTTCCAATATTGAATTCGTTGGGCTATTCGTGGACTTGATATGGTTATGTCTATCACAGAACCTGCATTACCACGTCTGAAGGTAAGGCTTCCTCCTTGGTTTAATACAGTGAGATCGTTCCTTGACACCACTTCACTCAGGAGAGTACCTCTTCTATCTAACCTAGTATCTTCCCATTCCGGGGATTTACTGTTGAAGTCGCCTGCTATCAAGACAGGACTCCTAGAATCATTCAAGCTCTCTTCCAGAGCACAAATCTCCGAGTTGAATTCTGAAAAAGAATCATTTGGAGAAAAGTAGCAACTATAAACACGGATCCCCGCGATCTCTACCCATAGAAAGCCCTGGTCTGTCTCCAAGAATTCCTTGACCTCAACGTTGGGATTGCAAACTTGTATACCGGCTCTCCCCGTTGCATCTTGGTACCAGGTTGAAGTATCTGTCGTCCTATATTGCTCACAGAAAACCAATACGTCGACATTTCTTTCTCTGGCTACCTGCATCAGGAGGTACTGTGCATCCCTTCCTCTCCCAAGATTTATTTGCAGGAACCTCAGTTCTTGGTCTTTACCCTCATCAATTCTGTTCGATTAATTGGACAAGAACTATTTGCGGCGGCGAGCTGGAAATCGGTTTTACCCATATCGAGGCAGGTAACACATTTCGGGGCCTCTTGACATGCTTTGGCGTAGTGTCCTGTGGCTGCACATTTCCAACAAGCGGTGCGTCTCTTGGGCTTTTCACAACCTTTTGCAATATGTCCGAATCCCAAGCATCTATGACATCTCGTCACTTCTACATGCTCTCGTATCCTGCAGTTCACCCAGCCAATATGAACCCTTCAGCAAGTGTTCTGCGTCTAATTCCGAAGTCTTGATAAGTGCTACCTTCGGGGCGTCACGTCGAGAAAATAGGCGACAATTCATGTCCACTGCGTCCTTGTCAAGTTTCTGGTGGAGTGCGTTGATAACTTCCTCTACCGTAACGGTTTCATCCAAGTCTCTTAGCTCTAAGGTCTTGAACAAGGTTAGACTTTTGACTTCGGCCTTTTCCTTTACCGCCTCTGCCAGAGCGTGGGCAAACTCAGAAGCCTTTCCGCCTTTTTTAAGGACAAACAGCATATCATTGTCCCTTGTTCTTCTAATGGACAAGAGCTCTGTCTCAGTTTCGGCTGGATTTACTTTAGCCTTCATAGTCTTCAGGATGTCTGCAAAAGACCTCAGGACCGCAGTGACTTTGACTGCTTCTGACGTTCTGCGCTTACGTGTTCTGTTTGAAGGCGCCGCTCTGCCCTCCTTGTCCGCTTTATGCTCTTTGCTTGCGACTTTCTCCTTTCTTTTCTCTTTCTGTACTTTCCTTCCTTCTTTCTTTCGATTGGTAACCACTTGGAAGCCTTCTTCGTTGTTGCCTTGCTCGTGGTGGTCCTGACTTTGCCCCGGAGACGCCTTTGACGCTGGTTGACTGAGCGTGTCAGTTTTGCCTTTGTTTGGATCCCTCTTTTCCTCAGGTGTTCTGGATGCTTCCCTTTTTTCGCCTCTGGGCCGAACTATCGCAGTGCCAGTGGATGCTGCTCTAGGGCGGTACCTTAAACTTTCACGAGGGGTGATTGCCAGTTCCTTCTGGAAACTCTCACCCCTTCCCTTAAGGTCCTTGGTCAGTGAAGTTAAGTTATTAACCAAGTGAAACGCCTTCTCTACTCCCATCTTGACGTCTTGTGGGTTATTCTTCAACATCCGTCCTCGAACACCCGACAATGCCTCTTGTAATGATTCCAGCAAAAGGTTATGTTTCTCAATCATCAGCAGGAATGACTTCCAGTTTTCGGCCCATGAGGGCGCACTCATGAATATATGTTCTCCTGAACTAGTACCTTCGTATGAAGACCTAGTAGCATCTTCTGTGCTAATACAATTAGCTTCTTCGTTTCCATTGGACAATTCACTAATGTCTGATACTTCCAATTTTTGTGTCAATACAATACGGGCTCTTAGCAAACGCGGTCTCTACATCACTCTTTTTCTTTCCTGGTGCGACTGACGTCAAGTGCTCCCCCCCAGAATCCAGGGAGCTGACTGCCGGAGCAGCACGGGATTGTGAGCATACTGCTCTACTCGCCTGGGGTACCATTTCCTTGTTTTGACCTGACATCTTTGGTTTTGGCCTATTTTCTTTGAGGAGTGGAGGAAGAATTCTAAGCCGATAACACCACCGGTAGGATAGGATTGGATAAAAAAAAGGGAAAACGGGAAAAAACGAGGGAAAAGGAAAGGACAGCCCAGGGTTTAGCAGAATATAAAATAAACTACCAAACCCCGAACTCCTTGCCTGGGGCCGTGAGGGCGACGCTCCCCATATACAGGGTGACTTTGAAGTTGAGTCATTAATTTTCAGATAATGATTGTAGAGGGAAGATAAACCAAAATATGTGTGTAAAAATAAAAAAAAATGAAAAAAAAATTTTACCTTATAAAGTATCCTCCCGACAAGTATTTCAGTGCGGACCTGTATTTGATCGTGAGGTTTTGGAGCACCGGCATGCCGTCACCTGATTCACGAGCCCGTTGTACTACATTAACAAAGGCACGAGGGGTTGGTTGCACTCGATTGGGAAACCGATCCGCATAAAGATGTACCATTTTTTATTTCGTTTGAGCCACGCAACAGACACCACTATTCAGTACGCGTTACCGACTGACACTGACTGTATACAAATGAATAAAATAATTGTAAAAACAACGTTCCAAATTCTTTCGCTTTTTTGTTTCTGATGCGATGAACCGATAAGGCGGATTATATCCGTTGTCGCCAAACACGAGCACATAATATTATTATTGAGACAGGGCGGTACTCAAACTTCCAAAGGGCTATAACTTTGTTACTTTAATTTTACCAGAAAAATGGTAAAGGAAAAAAACATTTCTTTTAATCAGGTCTACTCACTGTTAAAATAAATGACTCAACTTTGAAGTCACCCTGTATATCTTCCCTTAAAACAGGGTTAGAAACCCAGCCTTAAAAGTAGATACCCCCTGCGGCGATTATTATTATTATTATTTTATACTATTTTACTCCTCTGTCGAAGGTATTAATATTTCCCTCAGGCTAACCGCCAAAGTAAGGAAATAGATCTGCAGCGGTTTTTTTACCGTATCCGGTTCTCATCTCCTAAAACCCTACGTACTGTCCTACATGTTCCCAGCAGTGCAGCTTTTTGCAACTGCAAGTATATTATTGGATGGAGCTGTAGCTTTTCCAGGCTCTTGTGTAGTTTCCTTGGTATCTGTCCAGTAGCTCCTATGATAACTGGTATTACAGATACATTTCCCATTTCCCACATGCGTTTTATTTCGTCGGAGAGTGGCAAATACTTATTGATCTTTTCTGCATGGGTGGTTTGGATATTAGTAGGAAGAGGCACAGCTATGTCTATTATAAACGTCGTTCTTTCTTCTTTTAGTGTGAGCACTATGTCAGGAATATTGTTGAGGATGCGCCTGTCAGTTATGATTTTACGGTTCCAGTACAGCCTAGAGGTCTCTGTTTCTATCACAGGTGGCGGCGTGTATTTATAGTAGGGCTGTGTACCAGTTTCTCCTAGATGCTTGTTAGCCAAAGCTTGATAAAGTATTTTGGCCACATTATTGTGTCTTTCAAGATATTGTTTAGGAGCTAAGGGAGAGCAGCCTGCTACAATATGATCTATGTGCTCATCTTTTTCCCCACATATGCGGCATCTGATATCTTCCACGTTCTCATGCATTATTCGCTCTCGGTACAACTTTGTTGAGACTACCTGATCCTGGATGGAGGCTATGAAGCCCTCCGTCTCCAGGAACAGATTACCTGACTGCAACCATCCTTGGGAAGCCTTCGTGTCAATGGCGTTGTCTTCTATGCGGCTCCTATACTGACCATGTAGTGGTTTGGCTTTCCATTGGCGAACCAGGTCTTGCATTGGGGTTATCCTTGCCTCAGGGTTGAAAGATGTTTCTGAAAGGTTTAGTGGTGTCAACTTTTTATCCGTCTGTGTTATTGCTTGATGCATTCTGCTCGATGTGGCTTTTTGGAGGAAGTACTGGCGTAGATTGTCCACTTGGCGGTGATGTAGTGTAGGTATGCAAGGTATTTCTCTGCCACCCTCACTTCGTGGTAGATGGAACCGCTCTATGGAACTATGTGGATGGTGTCCCCGGTGCTTACGGAATTCTTTTCTGGTTTCAACATTAAGTGCGTTCAGTTCTGTATCCGTCCAGTTGAGTATGCCAAACGTGTAGGTAAGGACCGAGGTAGCGTAGGTGCTGACAGCAAGTGCTATATACGAGCTGACAAACTTGTTTTCAGCACTGCCCTCAAACGTGTTCTATAGTGCTCCATTGCCTTTTCTTTTGCAGCTTTTTGGTCTATGCCCGGCGCTTGTAGATAGCCTAAGTATTTATACTGTTCATCTTGCTGCATTCCTACAATTTTCCCTTGCACTTGGTTCGGCTCATATCCGGAATGCTTACTCCATTGGCCTTTTACCATGCAACTGATCCTGCACTTGTCTAAGCCAAACAGCATCTTGATGTCAGTGCTGAATTTACTTACACAGTCCAGTAGCTTATGAAGATGTTCTTTGGTTTCTGCAAAAAGTTTGAGATCATCCATGTACCAAAGATGTGAAATGCGTGTTTCATTGCCACCTAACAGTATTCCTTTCTTTTGGCTATTTAGCATTGTTGTTAACGGTCTAAGCGCTAAGCAGAACCATAACGGACTTAAAGAGTCTCCTTGAAATATTCCTCTCTTGATGGATACCTCTCCGGCACTAAATTGCGTATCTTGGGTGTTGAGATAGAGCCGTGTCTTCCAATTCGCCATAGCATGTGCCAGAAATTGTTTGATGTGGCACTCGATCCCATAAAGGTCAAGCACCTCTAACAGCCAAGAGTGAGGTATACTGTCAAACGCTTTCTGATAATCGATGTATGCAATGTACAGGGATATTTTTTTTCTTGGCATAATTAGTTATGACAGAGTCTATAACAGGTTGCTCTTTACAGCCTCGAGACCCTTTTCGGCAACCTTTTTGCTCTTCGTCTAGTATAGTATTCCGCTCTAGGTGTGAATATATCTTTTCAGTAATTATAGCAGTCAATACCTTGTAAATAGTCGGCAGACAGGTGATTGGTCGGTATTTTGCCGGATCGTTCGAGTGACCGCCGCACTTTGGGATTAAATATGTTATTCCCATTGTTAAGAACTCTGGCAACATATCTGGTTGCTCTAAGATTGAGGTGTAACACTTTGCGAGTCGATCGTGAGCCGAAGTGAACGTTTTTATCCAATAATTCTGAGGCTTATCTGATCCTGGGGCTTTCCAGTTTGGCAATTTTCGTAAAGTATTTACCACGTCATCTAAGCTAACTTTCCAGTCGGGCATGGTCCTAAAAGTTGAATTATTTGATTTCTCTTGGCGGTACCATTTAGATGTGGAATGATTGATTGGACTGCTCCAAATTCCTGACCAGAAGGTGTTGATGGCATCTGAGGTAGGAATCTGAACGTTGTTCTGTTCTGTATCCCTCCGTCGCGCCTGTAAGTTCCTGTAAAATCCTCGCTGATTGGTCTCGAAAGCTCGATTTTGTTTCCGGCGTTCGTTGCTTTTCTTGTACCTTCGAAGTCGCAGTGCTGTAGCTGCTAGTTTTTGCTTCAGGTAGTCCAATACTTCTACAGCTGTTGGGTTCTCCTCCGAGCAGTGACGGTTTATCACATTCTCTGCGGATCTTTTTACTCTCAGACTACATTCAGACCTGCGGTACTGGATGAGTATTGCTATGTCCTTTCTAATCTCCTCTGTATTACGCGATATCCTCATCTCCCAGGCTGGCAGTTTTCTGTTTTTTCTTACACATTGTTCGCCAACTCTCTGTTCATTTAATTTTAGGACTGTAAGTGCTCCAGTGTACAACAGGCTATGAAGCTCAGTCAAGGTTGTATCTTCTGTAATCTCGTTATCTATTACTTTGTTAACTTCAGCGATATACTCAGATGTATGGGGTTTTATTATTAGCTTTGGTAGGCTTGGTTTAAGAGTTGGCTCCACACCATCATACCTCATGAACAAGCCCCTGAACTCATCTGCGTATTTAGAGGGTTGGCCATCGTTTGCCTCAATTTGTTCTTGGTTTTCTGTGTGCTCTTGCGGAGCTTGTTCCTGCATTCCTAATTCTATGGATATCTCTTCTCTTATTTTGTTTATCTCCTCTGCCGGCAATCTGTTGTTTATGAATACGGATCGGCGCTGGTCTAGTACGTTTTGCACAGTTTTGCCTTGCAGGTGAGGGAAGTTCATGATAACTTGTTTCTGTAGTTCAGTACCATAGGGCTCTGTGGATGCTTCTAGTTTAGTGATTCTGTAGTAGGAGCGAACCACGAATCTGTTCATTTCGGTAGTCCACGTGGTCCTTTTTCTCCTCCTATTGTCTGGCATTATGGGCTGGGGCTCTTGGCTTCCAGCAACATGATTGCCATCTTCGACCCCAGAAAGCTGTTGGATGGGGTCATTCGAGTTACTTCTCACGCTATCTCTTATTATTATTATTAATATAATTATTATAATTATTATTATTATTATAATCATTATTATTATTATTACTATATTATTATTATTATTATTATTATTATTATTATTTTTTTTTCACGCTACAGGACCGTTTTCTATTAGTAGCGGTATCTTATATGGAACGGTTTGACCTCTACACCGGGTCCTCGCCGAGGACCTGAGGGGTACAGATCTTTGTAGTTTATGAGCTGGTTATGTTATAACTTTCCTAATTATGTGCGATGTGCCTAATAAGGCGATCTTCTGTAACTGATAGAAATTATGATCTCCTGGTATCCTTTTTAGGTTATCTAGGATGTTGCGAGTGACATATCCAGTTGCACCAATCACTACGGGAATAATAGCTGCCTTTGTATGCCACATTCTTTGCACTTCTATGAGTAATGATTTGTATTTTAGTTGCTTTTCAGCCTCCTTTTGTATGACATGTCTATCTGCAGGTACCGTACCGATATATCAATTATATAGCATATTTCGGTGGTTTTTATAACAATATCTGGTCTGTTTGCTTTTATTTCTCTATCCGTGATAACGGGATGGTCATACATTATTGTGATACTACCATCTTCACTTCGTGTTATTCTGTCGGGGTGATGCTCATACCATTTCGTCGATTTTATTGGACAGCCAAGGTGGCGAGACACTTCTAGATGGATGGCTGCGCAGACATTATTGTGCCTGTCAGTATATTCTTTTGGCGCTAGTATTGGACATGCAGATATTATATGTTCAACAGTTTCATTGTGAATGTGACACAATCTGCATTTACCGTCATTCCTCGTCTTGTGTATTGCTTGCTCAATGTAACGCGTTTTCAAGGCTTGGTCTTGTGCTGCCGCCAGCAAGCTTTCGGTTTCCCCTTTCAAATCTCCGTATTGTAACCATCCAAATGACAGTCTTAAGTCAACCGGAAGCTCCTCCATTTGACGGATATGCTGTCCGTGTAGAGGCTTACTCCGCCATTTCTCTTCGACACATTGCTTCAAGTACAGTTTGATGGACCTGTTACCTCGCTCGACCGTATGTCCGGCTTCCGCAGCTTCTAATTTGATCTTATTACTACGCTTAACAATAGATCTATTTGTTGGTTTCCTATTGTCATGTGCTAGTAATATCTGTAGTAGGCGGTCTTGCTCAGATCTGGTTTGAATATACTGCCCTACTGAGAAGATAGTATTGTTGTACGTTTCTTCTATTTGCTTTAGTCCTCGTCCCCCTTTCTTTCGTGGCACGTATAATCTGTCGATGTCTGCTTTGGGATGAAGGATGTTATGTGTTGTCATTAGTTTTCTTGTTTTGCGATCCATTTGTCTTATGTCATCCAATGTCCAATTGATTATACCAAAGCTGTACTGCATGATTGGTATGGCAAGAGCTCCAATTGCTGTTATCTTGTTTCTAGACGTGAGTTGAGTTTGCAGAATTTTACGTACTCTCGTTATATACTCATGTCTAATATCAACTTTCAGTGAATCGTGGGTGATGTGTGGGCCTTCTTTAATTCCCAGGTACTTGTACACTCCGCCATGTTCTAGTGATTTGATCGTCTGTCCTTCATCAACCATTATATTAGCAGAGTCATAATGCATTCCTCTCCTGAAAGTGACTACAGCGCACTTATCGAGACCGAAGCTCATCTGTATGTCGTCGCTAAATTTTTTTACAATATTGAGAGACGTTTTCAGTTTGTTTTGGCTGGGAGATATGAGCTTCAGGTCATCCATATATAGCAAATGGGAGAGACAATCATTTGCTCCTTTAAGTTGGTAACCTAGGTTGGCCTCGTTGAGCAGCGTACTTAAAGGAACCATCGCAATCACAAACAGAAGAGGTGACAAGGTATCACCTTGATATATACCTCTTTTTATCTGTATGGGTCCTAACTCTATTTCTTCCCCATTATTACTGACTAACAGGGTAGTACTCCATAGCGAAATCCATCGCTTACATAGATCAATGATTTTCTCAGATGTTCCTATAAGCTTCAGAGATTTCAGGAGCCAGCTGTGCGGGACGCTGTCGAATGCCTTTCTATAATCAATCCATCCAATGCTAAGAGTTTTTTTGATCTCTTTACAATCTTCTACAATGGCTTTCGAGAGGAGTAGCTGATCCTTGCAACCAAAAGAGTCCTTGCCACAGCCTTTTTGTTCAGTTGGTATTATCTTATTATCATTTACATAATCAGATATTCTGCTGGCTACTACTTTAGTTAACAATTTGTACAAGGTGTTCAGACAGGTGATAGGTCTGTAATTTTTGGGGTCCTTACTATCTCCAGACTTTGGAAGAAGGTATGTTTTACCCTTTGGCAGCCAGTTCGGGATATCTGTTCCGTTATCGAAGTAACTATTATATATCATTGTTATTGTTTCGTGTGTAGACA